TGCAACCCACACAGGTAACGTGATGAATTCTGCTGCCCTGGACTGAATGTTTGCGTTCCACCCTCCAGATGCATAGAGTGAAACCCTGACCCCACTGTGATAGTGTTAGAAGGCGGCCTGTGGGAGGTGATTTGGCTGCCTTGAGGTCATGGGGCCCCCCATGGGATTAATGTCCACATGGGAGGAGGGAGAGATCGGAGCTCTCTGTCTGTCTCCACTGTGCGTGGATCCACAGGAAGGCGGCCATCTGCGAGCACGAGAGCGAGAACTCACCAGAACCCAACCAACCATCCTGGCACCCTAATCTCTGACCTCCAGCCTCCAGAACTTGGGGGGGGAATTTCGCTGTTTAAGCCACCCATCTGTGGTATTTTGTTACGGCAGCCTGAGTAACTAAGACACCTACCCAGAGAAATAGGAAAGTAGGAGTTTTCATAAAATGCTTTTAAGATGAATAGGGTCATATTGTTTTTTTTTCCCAGATAATCAAGATAATAGCGAACATGTAAGTTAGGGAACATGAAACAAAACATAGGCAAGAACCAAGAACTAGGAGAAAGGAATAGAGGGGCAATACTGGAACATTTCTACCTTTCTGTCAATATTCTTAAAATGCAAAATCCAATTAATAAGATAAGGGTGCCTAGCTGGTCCAGTCGCAGAGGGAGAGGGAGAGAATCTGAAGCAGGCTCCATGCACAGCACAGAGAACTTGAATATCCCAGACTTTGGCCCTGGCCCGGCTGTAATGAGCTGCCCCAAACCCACCCCTGCTGGGAGGGTATCACAGAAGACCACATTGGGAGCTGGCCTTTCAGCCCTGCTGGGCAACACCTGAGTGTCGAAATGAGACCAGAGGGCCGCTGGAATGCCCTCCTCTGCTCAGCAGTAACCGGGACCCCTACCCTGCAATGTCAGTGGGACCCAAACTTCTCCCTCCACCAGGCACTAATGAGGTGGCACCAGCCCTTTCTCTGCCAGAGAAGTGTTGGAGACAGCCAGTCTGGGCTGCTTTCCATCACCAACAACCAATTCTCCTATGGTTGGACACCAGCTGTGCAACAATTCATTTTGGTTTTGACACTAACTACCTGGAATTAACCCCAGATTCCACAGGATAAGGGCCCAACCCCCAAGACTGTTCCCACTTACAATGCCAGGTGCAAGTCCTAGGCCACCTGTACTTCTCACCAACCAGCTATACATCAGAGATTCCCCCCACGCCCTCCCCAGGTTTGATGACTTGCCAGAATGGCTCACAGCTCTCCAGAACCACTTAGGTTTCCCAGTTTTCTATAAAGGACGCAACTCAGGAAGAGCCAGGTGGAAGAGATGCACAGGGACAGGTATAGGAAGGGGATGGGGTTTTAATACCCTCTCTGGGAGCACCACCCTTCCAGCAAATTGATGTGTTCACCAATCCAGAAGCTCTTTGAATATCATTGTTCAAGGGATTTATAGAAGGGCGCCTGGGTGGCTCAGTCAGTTGAGCGTCCGACTCTTGATTTCAGCTCAGGTCATGATCTCAGGGTCGTGAGGTCAAGCCCCACATTGGGCTCCATGCTGAGCATGAGTCTGCTTGGGATTCTCTCTCTCTCCTCTCTGTCTGCCCCTCCCCCAGCGCTCTTTTTCTCTCTCAAATAAATAAATAAAACCTTTCTTTAAAAAAAAGAGTTTTTATAGAGCTCAATCTCTAACCCCCTCTGCTCCCTGAAGGTCAGGGGTAGAGATGGAAGTTCCAACTCTCTAGGCACTTGGTCTTCCTGGTCATCCTGAGGCCACCCACGGGTCCCATCCTAAGTCACCTCATTGGCATAAACTAAGGTGTACTCTAAAGGAACTCCTCAGGAGTAACAAAAAACATTTTCATCACTTCCCAAAGAGCCTGGAAATTGTAGGAGTTCTGTGCCAGGAACCTGGGACAAAAATCAAGTATATTTCTTATTATATCAGAGCCAGCTAAAACGGAAACCTTAAATAAGAACCAGAGTCTCATAACATGTTATGAAAATGTCCACATTTGAGTAAAAAGTCACTTGTCATAACCAAGAACCAGGAACATCCTAGTAATGTCAGTGGGGGAAAAAAAGCAATAGGCACCAAAACTGAGATGACAAAGTTGTTGAAATTATCTGATAAATGTTTTAAAGCTATGATAAAAATGTTTCAGTGCTGCAGAAAAAATTACAAAAACATGCGAGACAAATAAGTAGAATGCTCCCACAAAGCAATCGAAAGTCCTAGCAAAAGAGCCGAGATATAAAGAATAACCAAATGGAAATTTTAGGACCGAACAATACAGTAACCAAGAATAAAAGCTCAACTGCAGAATGGAGGGGACAGAAAAAAGAACCAGTGAACGTGAGGATAGGAGAAGAGAACTCACCCCATCTGTAAAAACAGAGAGAGAATAGAGTGAAAAAATGTGAATGGGGACCTGTGGAGGGTGACTATTACACAAGATGTGACAGTAGCATCATTAGGAGTCCTGGAAACAGAGAAGGAAATCCGTAGGGCTCAAAGAACACTCAAAGAAACCGTGACTTCGAACGAAGGAGGTTCTCACACACGCTACAACATGGATGAGCTTTGAAGACATTCTGTGAGTGAAGCAAGCCAGTGACCAAAAAAAAGGCAAATACAGTATGATTCCATTTATGTGAGGGTATCTAGAACAGTCAAATTCATAGAAACAGAAAGTAGAATGGTGGTTACCAGGGGCTGGGAGAAGAGGAGATAGGGAGTTGTTTTTTTAATGGGCACAGAGTTTCCGTGTTGCAAGATGAAAGGCTCGTACAGACGGTTAGCATTAACGCTTGCACAACGATATGCATATGACTAACAATACTGAATACACTTAAAATGATATATTTTATGTCTTATGTGTTGTGCTACCACTTACGATGTTCTAAAAATTTAGACCTTGCTCTCTGAAAGGCTTTGGCGAGAGGATGCTTAAAAGTTAGGCGGCCAAGTGGGAGAAAATATTTGTAAATCACGTATCCGACAAAGGACTCGTCTCCAGAATACATACAGAACCCTCAAAATTCAAAATAAACAGTCCTATCAGAAAATGGGCAAAAGACATGGGCAGTTATCCCACCCAAGAAGATACAGATGGCAAGTGAAACCATTTGCACTCCTGGGCATTTATCCCAGAATAATGGAGACTATGATCACACAGAAATCTGTCCATGAACGTTTATAGCAGCTTTATATGAAATAGCCCCCAACTGGGAAGGATCTAAATGGCCTTCAGTGGGTGAATGGCTGTACGGATTGTGGAGCATCTATGCCATGGAATATTACTCACCAGTAAAAAGTAACAAACAACTGACATTTGCAACTGTATTCATGAATTACCAGAGGGGGAAAAAACCAATCTTAAAAGGTTACACAGAAGTTACTACATTCTTAAAATCACAAGAGCAACAAATAAAAGACAGACTGTTGGTTGCCGCGGTTGAAGAGTGTTAAGAGGCGAGGGAAGTGATGCTGGCCATAAAAAGGGGGGGCGTGTTACATGAGGGATCCCTGTGATGGAAATCTTTTGTGGCTTGCCTATATCCATGTCACTATCCTGGTTGTTATCGCACTATCGTTTTGTCAGATACTGCCACTGGGGGAAATTGGGTAAAGGGTGACTGGGCTCTTTCTATAGTATTTCTTTCAACTGCATTGTGACTCAACAAATGATCTCAACAGAAAAAACTTAATTGAAAAAGTTACCATCTAATAAAATACAACAGAGCTGTTAAAAACAAAATGTAGTACGTCAGATTTGATCTTTAGAAACAACCCACCCATAAAATACACGTAACTGATAGATGCGAGGACTTCGGGACTGAGTTCATCCGGCAGGGTTCAGTCTGGGCAAAGGGCCATGGATCATACCCCATGACATTCGGAAGGGTGAGTCCAAAACGGGGCTGTGGGAAGGCACTAGGCACAGTGCCCGGAGCCCAAGAGGCAGAACTCCCCAGGAGAGCTGTGCTTGGGAAACCCGGCCAGCAAGCAGCAAGGACTGGGGGAAGCTGAGCTTCTGGAGGAGGCATATGGTCTCTGTGCATGCATCCCTAGCGAATGTCTCTCAGCACCTGCGAGCGGAAGCTGGGCTGACTCTGCAAAATATGATCTAAACAGGCTGAGACAAGGCCATGTCATCCCAGCGTCCAGCCCAGAGGTTACCAAAGAAATGCAGCCTCAGACAGGTTGCTCAGAGGCTCACCTGGGTCCCCGTGCACAGAGCCAGGCTCCATGTGGACATGGCCAGCTGAGGCTGGGGAGCATGTGATGGAGAAGAAAGAGGGGGCTCAGATGCAAACCTTGAGGGCTAAGACCAGAGGTGTGTTCATCATGTGTGTGAACAAGCATCATCAGAGCTACAGGACTGTGGAGGGACTCTCAGCAGAGGGCTCAGAGAGAGGCCCTGGGCACAGTGGGCGTGTCCCAGAAGGCAGGTCCCCGGGGGGGTTGGTGCTGGATGTAGGTGGGGTTCAGAGGGTTCAGGATCCTCCTGCAGCCTCTGCGGCCTTCCCATACAGGAGTCCACCCTTGCCTCCCTCCCGGTGGCCTGGCTGCTCCCTCGCCGGGCTCCTTTCTGCCTCCGACTGAGAAGGGGCTGCTACGGCCAATCCTGGAGGTCACACCAGGCCCGGGAGGTGACCACGGGACCAGGCTGATGGTTTTCAATCTGTGCACCTCCGAGCATCCAGGAGCCCCAGGAGCGGTGCCTTGGAGGCCAGCTGGTGGGGCGAGGCTGGGGACCAACTGTCCCAGTTTGTGCAGGACCGTAAGCTGGATGAGCTGGTCACTGCAGGTGAGGCTGCCCCGGCCACTCTGGCTCCTCCACTCCGTGAACCGGGAGGCCTTGCTGGCAGCCATTCCACAGGGAAGGGCAGTTCTGCTGCCTGGTCCCCCACCCCCAAACCCCAGGTGAGGTGTCAGGACCCTCACCTCCTTCCCCAAACAAGACAAAGCAAAGAAACAGATGACACCTCGTCCGTTTCTGCTTTTTATTGGCGTGTGTGTGCATATACAGCAAGTCCTAGGGGAAGAGTAGGGGGTGAAGCCCAGCAGGTCGACCACTCCCCGCCCCGCCCCACACACATCCTCTCTTCCAGGCCAAGTGCTCAGCGCACCTGGGCCAAGTTATGTTTCTTGTACAGCAGCGCCCGCCTCTTCTCTCGCTCGCGCACGAAGGTGCGCAGTCGCGCTGTGGGGAAGGTCACGGCCGCGGGCTGGGAGCCAGCAGGGCCCTCCTCCGTTAGCCACGGGCACTGCAAGCAGCTGGACGCGCACGGCCGGCCCCTGGAGAGAGGGCAAAGTTGTCCGCTGAGCTCTCAGAGCTGGGGCCGGGTTGGAGAGGGAGGCGGGAGGGAAGTGGGCCAGGCGGGGTTGGTGGAGGGGGTTGGACCCGGCCGACCCGGTGGTCGATGCGGCGGGACCGCCTTACCATGGGTGAGCGCACAAAGTGCTCCGGAGAAAAGCCACGGCGCCGCCGGACAGCCCCGCGTAGCAGCGACTCAAACGGACTAGCCCCTTGCGCAGGCTTTTCAGCAGCTCGCGCGTCCCTTCACTGCTCACGGGGTACTCCGCGCTCAGCCTGCGCGCGCGGGGGTCAGGGGACTCAGGTCACCCTCGGGTGGATGTGCGGGGGCACCGGGGGCTCTGGGGTCCCCCTCGATGGATGGGAGGCACAGGGATCTGAGGTCACCCTCGGATGGAGGACACACGGGGGCTCCGGGGGCACCCTGGATGGATCCCCAGTCTCCCGCCCCTGCGCCTGGGGGGACTCACATGATGAAAGCTGTCACGCCTATGGCCCAGATGTCGGTCTGCGGGACGGCACCCTGGCCCTCCAGGAGCTCGGGAGCTGGGGGAGGACACAGGCGAGCACCCAGGCGAGGGGCTGGGTGTGTGCAGGGCAACGGGGAGGGAGGCAGGTTGGGGGGCGGGGCTTCCTGCTGGCCCACCCTTCCCCCCCCTCCCCCGGGTCAGATGGGCATCCGCTCCCTGCGCACCCATGGTCTCCAAGTAGTCCTTGAACCTCTCGGAGGGCAGGACCCTCTCCTGGGCGAGGCTCTGGGCGCTGCCCAGGTCGACGACCTTGAGTAAGTTGTACTCGGTGACGATCATGTTCTCCGACCTGAGGTCCAGATGCAGAATGCCTTGGGCGTGCAGGTACTGGGCGGCGCTCAACATCTGCCACAGGTAGTCCTTCACCTCCGACTCCGAGTAGGAAGCCCTGGGGGCGCACGGGGAGGGGGGCTCGGCTCCATCCACGGCAGAGGGGGCGCGGGGACAGCCGCTCTCTCTGTGGGCCTGGGAGGGCCGCCTCCCGGCTCTGCTTAGCTCCCCGGCTTTGGGCTGACCGGTGGGGGCGGGGCCGGGAGGTGTGAGCCGGTCAGCACCCCGCGCCGCTCCTGCCCCGGCGTGTGTGCCGTCCCGCCCGCGGCCCCGCATCCAGGCCAGGCCTCACCTCTCCGCCAGGCAGGGGAACAGCTCGGGTCCCGAGCACAGCTCCAAGATGAGGACCAGGTGCCGGGGGCTGAGGTAGGCGGCCTGTAGCTGGGCCAGGTGCGGGTGGCGCAGGCTCTTGAGGGCTTCGTATTCGCGCAGCACGGCAGCCTTGTCCTCGGGGCGGTAGGGGACGATCTTCGCGGCCAACGCGCGTCCGCTAGCCTTCTCCCGGCACTGCCGCACCACGCTGAAGCGGCCCCTGGGAGCAGCACCGGCCAGCCTTGTGAGGGCCCCCCACGCGCCCTCCTTCCCAGTGTCAGAAAAAGCAAGCTCAGCGGGAGGTGACCCACGCCCTCGGGGAGGGGGGCGCGGAGGTTCTGCACCCAACTTGTGTGGATGTGAGGAGGGAGGGGTGGCGGCGGAGGGGCCTGGGGCGAGAGCAGGCAAAGCCAGTGAGGCCACAGGCTATGGCACCTTCGAATCTGCGCCTGGAATGCGAAGGTCTGCGCGCTGGGGAGGGGCCGGGCGGGCCGCGGGGTGCCGCTTTCTTCCTCGGAGGCTGTGGGGGAAGGAGCCAGTGACTGGGCGGCACCCCTACAGCCCCAGTCCCCCCCCATTTGTCTCCCGTACCCCTTCCCAGGCCCCCTAGCAGGGGGCCCTTCTGTGACCTCCCACACTTTGATGTCTCCTCCCTTGGGCCATTTGGGGGCAGGGGCCTACCCGTGAGAACAAAGCATCCCAGGGAGTGTGTGCAACTGAGTGAAGTGGCAGGGCACCCCGCCACCACCACCCCGCCAGGCCTCCCAGCGCAGCTCACCCAGGTGGCTGGGCCCTCCCAGGAGGACCTCCTCTGAGGGGCTGCTGTAGGGACCCATGCCCGCCTTGCTGACACAGGCCGTCCGGAAAGCGTACAGCCCGCCCCTGGAAAGCTTGCTGGCGAGGTAGCAGCAGTCGAAGATGTCGGAAGCCAGCGTACTCCAGGTACCACCTGGGCCACACGCGAGTAGGTGAGGGACAGCCCGGGTCAGGGGGCGGAGAGACCCCCCAGGTGGCTGGGTTCTTCCCAAAGCCACCCAGGGGCACCGCCCTGCGGCCCTCCTGTGCGGACAGCAGGGCTGCCCAGGAGGGGAGACCATACGGAGGGCCCCTACCTTCCAGGCTGCTTTGCACGATGTACGTCACAGGGCCATAGGACTCCACGGGCTTCCAGACCAGCAGCACCCCGTCAGCATACACCTCCCCAATGGCAGGGCGCGGGGAAGAGCAGGGGCGCTCTGGAGGCCCAGGGTTGGCAGCCTGAGGGGGGCTCCCCGCGGCTTCCAATGCAGCGCAGAGCCCCAGCCAGCCCGGCCTCACCCTCCTGCACCTGCTGCCAGGTCCCTGAGCCCACCATCCCCTGGACCCGTTCAGTCAGGGTCCCCTTCCAGCACCGGCTGGTAGAGGGGCCCGGTGCCTCTTCTGGTGGGGGCCTCGGGAGGGGTCTGCTCTGCCAGGCTCCCCTCCCACAGGCGTACGTCAGCAACCCGCCGCGGAGTGGCCCTCCCTGGCCACCCTCTGCCAGCCGCCGGCTCCCATCAGAGGGGCCTGTCCTGGCTACTCAGCTTCCCCCGGCAGCCTGGACACTCGGTGGTTGGCCACTGCTGGGAATCAAGCTAGTCCCACAGCCCCTGTTTTGCATCCTCTGCTTCCTGGTCGTGGGGGCCCCAACGTGGATGACCGGGTGGTAAGCATCCCATTCCAAAGGCCTCCTCAGTGGAGGGCAGCAGCACAAACCAACTCACCAAGTGACAGGTGGTCTCCCGGCCCATTAGAGTCAGTCCGCGCCCCGTCCCACCGAGGGGGCCTGGCGCGGTCCACTCACCTGCCTTCCGGAGGACAGCCGTGGTGGCCACCATCCCCAGAGGGTTGCTCACGCTGCACGTGTACACCCCCAGGTCCTCAGCAGTCGTCACCAGGATGGTCAGAAGCTGGAAGTTCTTGAGCGTGGAGGAGATGAGGAGGCGGCTGGTGCCCTCCAGGGGAGCCCCGTCTGCGGCAGGACAGAGCAGGCCTGGGGGGCAGCTCCAATGGGCACCCAGCCTTGAGAGGCCGGCCCTCTTGGGGCCCGTTTCCCTCTGTACAATAACAGCAATGCCCGCAAGGGGCACCCGCTGCCTTCCTGCCCCCCCCCCCCCCCAGCCCCAGGATTCCTCCTGACCTTTGGTCCAGGTGGCCTGTGCAGCTGGCTGGGCCAACACCTGGCAGGCAAGAGTCACGGACTGGCCCAGGACCACCGTTTCATCGGAGAGCTCCCTTAGAAATGATGGCGCTAGGGCATGGAAAGGGGGGCAGGCAAGCTTTCCAACCCCTGTGGATGTAAGCTTGCCCCCTCTGCCGGTCTGGGCACCAGGGAGGGGCTCCGTTCCCCCACACTTGGGTCCCCCAGGCTGCAGTGTGGCTCGGGCCCTGGGCAGCGCACGCACCTCGGTCCCTGCTCTTCAGGCCCAATCGGAAGGAAGCCAGGCCTGCCTTCTTCCTGGGGGGGCTCTCTTTCTCCAGACCTGCAGGGAGGAAGAGACCTCTGGGAGACGCACGCAAGGGGCCCAGCTCCCCTGGGAGCATGGGAGGAGGAACTCGGGAGCCACCCGTGGAGAGATCCCCACGTGGCAGAAGAGCCCAGATCCCAGGGGCTTTTGTCGCAAAGGAGCTATTCTGCTGCAGAGACCACCCGCTCCCCACCCCTGTCAGGATCGGTCTACCTTGCACAAGGGCACCAGGGGCAGGTAAGACTCGGGAGCCCGTGGTGCCTGGGGAGGCCTGGCCAAGGGCCCAAGGGTCAGGGACGGGCCAGCAGGGCTGGCCTGGTTGGATGCTCTCTATATGAGCGTCTCCAAGCCTCCTTAGGTCCCCACGCTGGGCCCAGATGCACGTGGGGAGAGGCTGAGGCCACATGGGTGGCCTCAGGAACAGGGCTGGGTGTGTGTGGCACGGGGAGGGGCACCCTGGAGAGAGCGGCTTCTGTATCACCCCAGCCCTTCCCCGCATGGGAGGTGAGGTGCCCCAAGGTGCACCTGCCAGGGCGGAGGGGAGAGAGGGGTGGGGTGGGGGAGTCACCTCCAGGCCGGCCCCTGAGGAGGCGGGAGATGTGGGCCACGGAGGCCCTCACCCTCCGGCGCAGTCCCAGCTCCACGGGCTCCTCCAGTAGGGCGTGCCTTCCTGGGAAGTGGAAGAGGCCGCTGGAGGGGGGCGACCACTTGCGCTTCCTGCTGTGGGGGGCCTCCCTTAGCAGAGTGTCCATGTCCTCCGGCTCCTCCGTGATCTGCAACCTGGCCGGCGGGCCCGGCGCACCCGGCCAGGGCCCCTCGGCTTCAGACTCGGGGGACGACGGTGGCTCTGGTGGCCTGGGGACCTTCCTGAAAATCATGAACTCGAACGGGAGATACTTGATGTCATACAGGTCAGACAAGTTGAGGTAGGCAGGCTCCACCTCTGAGATGTCCAGGGACACGGTGTCGGCTGCTTCTGCGTCCCCAGACAGGTCTCGGATCTGCACCAGGGACACCTGGGAGCCCCCACCAAAGTCCTCCCACGAGCTCAGCTCTGGGGAGGCCCGTGGGGGTGCCCCACTGCCCTCGGGAAGGGGTTCTGCGCTAGCCTGGGGGGGTGGGCTCTGGGCCCCAGCATCATCACGCTCCTCGGAGGACTGAGAGGTGGCCCAGGCCATCCTGGCCCACAGAGGACCCTGCCCCAGCATGCCCCCCGCGTCCCCGCCAAAGGCAAAGGTGCCGTAGCCCGCCACTCCCGCGAAGCCCCCACAGCGCGCCCCCAGTGAGAACTTGCGCGTGGTGGCCTGCTCCTGAGGGCGCTGCGGGCTGGGCTCAGGCTCTGATGCGTCTTCCCGCTCCGCGGCCCGGGAGGGGCCAGGCTCCGCGCCCACTGGGGAGGCCAGCCCTGGGGAGCTGGGGGGACTCGGCCTCCCAGGGAGAGGGGTGCCCTCTGGTCCCTTCTTAGAGCCTGGCTGGGGGCTTCCTTCGGCCGGAGAGAGAAAGGAGCTCAAGGGCGCCAGGAGGGACCCCGCGCCCGGCTTTGCAGGGAAGGAGCCAGAAGGTTGTGGTGTAACAGCCTGAGGGGGGCCCCAGCCTTCCGGCAGAGCAGGTCTCCTCTGGGGATGAAGGGAAGGCGCGGCCTGCCCCCCGCGGCTGTCCTGCGATGACCCCTCTTGCCCAGCGGACCCCGGGTCGCCACCGGCGCACGGAAATAGTCCCGGCTCCTGCCGGGATCCCTCCGGACGCTCCGTGTCCCTGGCACGCGAGAGCCCTCCCGGCCAGCTCTCCCCTGCGTCCGCCTGGAGGTCCGAGCGGGCCGGGCCAGGGCACTGCGCTCCGCCACCGGCCTCAGGCGCCGAGCCGGCGGGGGGCGGCCGGCCGAGCTCCAGGGAGCGGCCGCGGCCGGGGGCCCCGCGGGCGCTGCAGTCCGGCAGCCGCAGGGCGGCCTCGAGGCAGGGCGCTCTGGCCGTGAGCGCGGCCTCCTCCTCCCGCGCGCGGTGCTCCAGCAGCGGCTCTCGCAGGCCGGGCAGGGCGCGGGCGAAGTAGCCGCCCGAGAGCAGGTGCCGCCGGCCGCCCGCGGCGGGGCCTCCGCGCTCCGGGCCCTCGCCCGCCTGCTGGTACAAGAGACTGCGGAGGACGCTGTCCCGCGGGACGCAGCCCCGGGTGGCGCGCGCCTCCGCGCGGGGGCCCGGCGTGGGCGGAGGCGCGGTCTCCTCCGGCAGGCTGGCGGACGGCCGCAGGAAGCCCCGAGGGTGCAGCAGCGGGGAGTGGGCCCCCGGGGAGGGCGGCAGCGATTTGGCCCGGGCGAAAGGCGCCGGCTCGCTGTCGGAGGACGAGGACGACGAGCTGCTGGCGTCGCCGCGCAGGTGCCGGGCCACCCCGAGGGATGGGCTGTCGGGCGGGCCCTGGAGCAGCTCGGGGATGGAGCGCATCACCAGGATGGACTTGTAGCTCATCAGGGAGCGCTGGGGGGGCGCGGAGGACAGGGGCGCGTCAGCCGTGGGCCCGCGCCGCCCCGGCTCCTGCTGGGCGCAGACGGGGCACCCAGGAGCCGGGAGCGTCACAAGCTCCACTCCTCAGGCCCTAGGGCTCTGTCGCTCTGCCCCTGCCCTCGCTGGAGGTAGCACGCACCTCCGCCCGGACCTGCCCCGGCGGCTCGGAGAGCGCAGACCCCAACGAAGGGCCAGCGCCGGGCGAGGCTTCCTGTTCTCCCAGGCCAGGCGGGCGGGGACGCACAGCCAGCCCTCGGCACCTGGCTTCCCTTCTCCCCAACTCCCCCCGCAGCCTAACTGTCCTCGCGCCGCCCCACCACTCCCACACGCTGCCCAGCTCACCTGCCAACGGCTGTGAGCCAGCAGGAACTTGAGTTGCTTGGTGTTGATGAAGTGGGCCTCCTCCGCAGGCACGGACTTCTGAGGGCGCCCAGGTGGGGGGCGGTGAGGGGAGACCCTGGTGCACCCGGTGGCCCACACAGGCCTCCGCCCCTCCTGGCCTCAGTTTCTCTCCCTGTGCAGGCTTGCTCAGGCTCACCTCGGACTCACCTGGAACCAGGGGTGGGCGAGGCACTCGGCTGCACTGGGCCGGGCACTAGGAGGAGAGGAAGGCCAGGGCTCAGGCCAGGGGTTCGGCTGCCCAGGCCCAGGCCTAAGAGAACCCTGGGCGGGGGGGGGGGGCAGGGCTGGGCACTCACTCTGGGGCCCTCTGCAGGGCAGCCTTGATGAAGTCCTGGGCATCCTTACTGAGGTGGGCAGCCGCAGGGCTGCTCCAGGACACCCGCCCCTCCAGTACGTTCAGGAGCGTGGCTCGGTCACTCTCACCAGCGAACGGTGACGAGCAGGTCAGGCTAAAAGCAGAGACACGACTTGCCTTCAGATGTGACCTGGTTTTCTGGATCCATAGGGGGCAGGTGGCCAGGACAAGGGAGCACCCAGTCCTGCCTGGAGGTGGCCACAGTGCCACTCCCATGCAGCCCTGAGAGCCCTCCAATGGTCTGAGATTAGCCCCGAGATCCAGCCTCAGCCTGGGACGGGGATCAAGGGTCAGCCTGGCGTGTGTACCCAGCCTCAGCCCGGGATCCAGGTGCTGTCTACACCAGCAGCATCCTCAGGGCAGCAGGGACTGTGACGAGGGACCTTTCTGCAAACCACCCAGACCCTCCCTTTAGGGACACAGCTCACTGCTTTGCCTGGGGACCAGGCAGAGTCCCTCCGGAACACCGGAACAGCGTACGTAAGGAAAGAGCTCAGCGTAAACCATTTCTCAGTTGGCTGACGGCTGGTTCACATAATAGCTGCCCTGTGGGGCCTGGGTCTTTGACCTGGGCAGCTGGCCAGTAGTGCTCCAGCCTCCCACGGGCCTGATGCGGGGGCGGGGGGGGGTCTAGGGCAGGCTTCAGACGAGGTGGTTGACAGAGGCAGGGCTCTGCTCACCTGAGGTAGGAGATGACCCCCATGGCCCTGCAGGAAAAAACCACAGTCACAGTGTGTGCTCAGGGTTGAGGCGCTGGGGGTGGGGGGGTGGGGGGGGGGGGGGGGGGAGCATGTGTCAGGGGCTGTGGTCTGCGAGCTCACCAGACATCAGAGGCTTCGCTGACAGGGTTCTGCTCGACGATCTCCGGGGACACAAACTCCGGGGAGCCATACTTGCTATACTGTGGCTCTCCTGGGGAGATTTTTTGGGCAAAGCCGAAGTCGCAGATTTTAATGTCTTCTAGAGCAGGATGCACCATCAGGATGTTGGGGGGCTGTCAGGGAGAGTCAGGGAGGGGTGAGGCCATGCCCTAGGGGCTGCAGGGAACCCCCGGGTCTGTGATGGGCTGTTCCAAGGCAACGGTGAAGCCAGTGTGGGACCGTGGACAGTCCTGGGGGCTGCATTTCCGTGCCCTTTGGGGACAGCCTCCAATTCATCCCAGCTGCACCCCCCTGAAAGAGCCCCCCACCCCCAGGGGCAACCAAGGCCTCACAGGGACTCTAGACGTGGCCGGCCTGTGGCTCCCCCACCAGCCGGCAGGCCCCAGGCTCCCACGTGTCCCTCCCCAGTCCTTGGGGACCCCAAGGGGGCCGAGTACCTTTATGTCCAGGTGGAGAATGCTGTGGCTGTGCAGGTAATGAAGCCCCTCCACCAGCTGCTGGACATACACCTTGACCTGCAACCAAGGCCAGGGCTCAGGTGCGAGCCATGGTCCACCGCTTCCTCCACTTCCTTCCCTGTGCCACGCCCACCTGCAGGGCCCCCACGTCCCTCAGATCTGAGCTTGGGGTGGTCCCACGAGGCAGCCATGTACAAAGCCTCCCAGACGCCGCCCCCCCCGCCCCGCCCCGGGCCCCAGGGCCAGAGGAGTCGTCCAGCCGGGCGGTGGATCAGCCTGGCCAAAGCAGGGAGCGCTGCGTCTCGGGGGCAGGCCAGGCAGGGCCCGCGACGGGGAGGCCGTGGGAGGGCTGGGAGAACTCTGCTGAGGAGCTGCCGCGCGCCGTGCGGCCCTGGGCAACCTCAGACGGTCTCGGAGCTGGGGAGCGCTGGGGGCCTGTGTTGGCACACGGGGAGCAGCACACCGCGCGGTCACCTCGGTTTCTGTCATCACACCCTTCCTGAACAGACGGTCCAGCAGGTCCTCTGACGAGCACCTGGGGCTCAGGTCAGGAAAAGCTCTGCAGTCTGGAACCCACCCGGCCCCACCCACCTTTGGCAAGTCATCTTGGGGTGGGGGCGGGAGCCACGCCGGCAAGGGTGGTGCTCAGCTGACCAGGGTGGAAGGAGCAGGGGCCCTGAGGGCCGGGGCTGAGGTCAGCGGGCGGCAGCAGCAGAGCGGGAGGGGAGCGAGTCGCGCGTGTCTGCCCCTCGCTGGACCGTGGCAGGGCAGCCTCTCAGCGGTAGCGCTGGGGGCGGCCACCCACGTCACACGGCCCTGCTGGCGAGGCCACGCGGGGCACGGCAGCGGCCCAGTGAAGGCGTGTCCTGGACCCTGGGGACACAGCCCCGCCCAAGTGCCGGGCCCGTGGGGCCGGAGCCGCAAGGACGGTGCCGTGTCCGGGAACACCAGAACAACCGGCCGGGGCGCGCCCCTCTCCGCACTCCGGCTGAGGGCGGGATACAGCTCCACGACGAGGATCAGGGTCTTCCGCGTCTCAAACTGGTCCAGCAGCCGGGTGACCAGCGGGTGGCTCAGCGTGGCCAGGATGTCCCGCTCGCGGTGCGCGTGGGCGCACGTCCTGCTCCGCCGGGGAATGAACTTGGCTGCGCAGGACATCTGGTTCCCCTTGTGCTGCACCCTCTTCACGAAGCCAAACACGCCCCTGGGAGGAGGGGAGCCACGCTGGGCGCCTGCGACAGGCTCCCCGGGGTCGGGGTCCGGCTCGGGGCTGGAGGAGTCCTCCAGGGAAGCAGGCTTCCGGGGCGGTGCTTGTGAAAGGCCTGGGCTCCCGGGGCAGGGACTCGGGGCGGGCGGCGGGGGGGCGGGGCGGGGTCGGGACTCGGGGAGGCGGGGCCGAGGGGCGGGGACTCGGGGAGGCGGGGC